ATCTGTCCAGCGACTATAGGAACTATTGGCAGTGAAGACTTACAGGTCCCTGCACAAAACTTTTTTTTGCATGCCTCACTTCAGAAGTGACTAGGGATCATCTGACAGCGGATGTATTCTCCAGTCATTAGTCATTGCATTGTCAGAATAAACCCATGACTAGCCCTGAGCACTAAATGACTGAAGATTAGATTATTGGGGAAAGTTCAGCAAATACATAAAATAAAATAAAAAAAGATAAAAATTTCCCCTTAAATTCATGAAGAAGTGCTATGATTCGTGAGTGAGAGAGTGTCATAGATACTTGGGTATGAAATAAGTAAAAAAATGATATTTGAGATCAAATTTGGAGATATAATTTCGAGGGGCATGGTTGGTCAGCCATATGTGTAATAATACTTTAGCTCACTTGTGTCTTTCTCTGACACAGACATGCACAAATAATTCATATACAGATCTTCTAAATATTTATATGAATAAAAGGGGAAACTGAGGCAATGTTTGTGAAGAATTGTTTTCTTCTTTAATTTGCCACTTATGCAATTATATTTTTGTCCAAAGCTTATGCTAGAATAAGCTTGAGTCATAATTGCTAGTATATATCATACATACATTTTTAAAGACCTTACTTTGCTTCTTTTAAAAGTAAATAAAGACTATAGTCTCAATTCTTCAGTTTTATTTTCTTTGTCTTAGAATGCTCTTTTCTCCCTCAAACCAGTATGCTTCAGCCTGATTCCATAGCTCTTTATATTTTAATGTTTCATAATCTGTGCAGAAATTCTGAGATAAGATGGGTCCAAGAGGCTAAATGGTACTCATCCAAAAAATGTCCTCAATTTCAAGATCTCAGTTGCACAGCTGGGTTCTGTTGGTCACATGTCAGCTTCAGAGCACATCTGTTCATTCCTCAAGGATCCACTAGGCCCCATGAACACAATGTCCTCTGTGTAGGGTACTTTACACCACAGAACTCAGCAGCTGCAAGGGTGAGAAAATCTCTACTTCTCAAGTTTGTGTCTCTAGGCAGTTTGAGTAGGGTGTTTTCTATCTGGCTTTCTTTTCGTTGCTTGTCACTTCTGACATACAGATGCTTGTTGGCACCGGGGTTGCTTTCACTGTTCTCAGGGACAGATGTTTCTAGTCTGGGAAGAAATAGACCAAAGTTTTACTGGAAAGTACAAATTCTTGCCACATTTAGGCACCTAACCTGAGAAAACATAAAGAAGATTTTGGCCACCGGCTCATGAATGGAAACGTCGTTACTGCCAGGAAAATAATGCCCCAAATCTAAAGACTTGGTCTCAGAATTTAGGGAAAATATTGGTGTCAAATATTCTCATCTCTATGTTCCACAGTAGCCACACGAGTTTCCTGGTAGGCGAGGGGTAAAAGTAGAGACAACTCTAATTCATTTGGAAGATCAACATCTCTATAGCTGCGCTTTCTGAGAATTGTTGATGGAGAAAAAGGGAGAGAAAGGGAGGGAGAGAAAGAAAGAGACTGAGACTGAGATTCATGTACCTTTCAGATTCTGGGCATTGGAAATATTTTGAGTTGACAGGGTTGAGTGAAGTACTGTGAGAGAGGCAGAAAAATGACTGAAGATACATGAAAGGGAACAATATTCAAACTAATTTGATTCATAGAGAGTTATCATTCTCCATCAAGAGGATCTTATGAAGCTTGCTTTTATAATTCTCAAAAGTCTTGTTGATACTTTTGGAGGAAGGCATAGTCTTGGGTCAATATGCATTAAATGAGATGTGAGGGACAAAAACAGCTTATAATATTGTAACTAGGTCCCCCCACAGGAATGTGTCTATATTTATATAGCATAACCTGTTAAATGTGTACCAATGGCTGCAAATTCAGACCACAGAAGCTTCTTTAATAACACGCATACACCAGGTCCAAAATGTTCTACTCTGTCATTCATGTGTAAATCAAGTATATTATTCATATACTTCATCGACTTCCTGAATGCGTGCTAAAAATGCCAAGGAAAAACTCGTTAATCGTGACATGGTGACTGCTCAGCTAGCACTGAAATGTTGATGGAAGAGAAAAATTGTCAAAGAGTCTTTTTAAGAACTTCTGCAGGTTACACTCGCAAATCGGAATTCAGAGAACATGAATTCCCTAGTTCAGGAAGGAAGGATTAAAAGCAAACACCCTCCAGTGGTTGCATCTAAAAGTTGCATAGTTTTCTCAAACGGCTGACTGTTGAAAAATATTCTTGTGTACCATCCAGTACCTCTGGATCAAGTCCCCGCTCATTCTGATGATTGTAAAAATCTTAAAAATATGAAAGTGATCTTCTCTGGACTATAAAATCTCTTCTGCATTTGATTTGATGTGCAATCCCTTGCTAGGATGTAAGCTCTGAGATCTGCAATCATGGCTGGCTTACCCATCCTAGTTCTGAGGTGTCAAAGACATGAAGTACCAACAGCATCCAAGTCTTAGATGGGACACTGGCCTATATATTCAGTTTGTAACAAATTGCGCACAAACGTGACACATATTTTTTTGTGTGCTGGTTAGTAAGTTAATAGTCAAGATAATTAAAGAGGATATAAAAAGTCTGTTTTATCTTGAGGACCAATCTGGGAGGAATTGGGTAAGGGGAAAATATGATCAAAATATATTATATGAACATTTCTGAGAATTAACAAAAGTATTTTAAAACAGAAAAAGACCACCAAAAAGTAATGTTCTCGCTTATTTTCATGACTTGTTTTTCTCTTAAACTAACACTGTTGAAAAAAATCAACAGATATTATGAGGCACCGAATCATTTTAAATTGTGTTAGATGACAATATTATGAACATAAATGAAATTCAGTACAATGCTCATGGAACTTATAATCATATTGGTAAGAGATAAATAAATGGAACACTACCTAAAGTTATAGAACTAAACAAAATATCTTAGGTCTATACATTTATAGTCAAAAAGTACATATATACCATGAACTTGAGGCCTGAAGAGATTACTAGAGATTTTCCACAAAATCAGTAAGTGATATGGAAAATAATCAGTAGGGTTTTCAAATGCATAGAAAGCTAACGTGAACAAAAGCAGTTCAGGGACACAGATACACATAGTGCATATCATAGGCAGAACTTGGATAGAGCAGAGGCTTTGAGTAGGTAGCAAAAAGGATGGGTGATAGGAGAACAATCTGGACAAGCAGCCAATTAAAAAAGTGTTTAAGAAAGGTTTACAGGTTTTTGTCCTGGAGGAAAGAGTGAAAAAACAATCAAAGTTTGTGGAACAGTGCTTCGGCACTGTGGGGGTTGTATACATGGTAATGGATTACATGGAAGAGCGAAAGTATAAGGAAAGTAGAGACATAATCAATATTGTCGAATAATATAATTGGTGCCTAAGCTAGGATAATAGAAGTGAGAATTGAAAAGACACAAGGGACGTGGTTTGGGAGAAAGACACCGAGGCATAAAAATGACTCAGACATTGGAATATTCCTTGGGCAATATATTGCCATGGTACTGTATTTCAAGCCATAAGAGCAGGTAAAATTACAAAAAAGAAAAGAATAGAGAGACCATGGGAAGAAGTTTAGAGACATTTTAATTGAGGAAAAGAAATGAACTTGTAAATATTGTTGTCTTTGGACCTTTCAATGCACATTAAAGGCATGCAATAGTAAATACACTCATACATACATGCGCATGAACCTCAAGAAGAAAGAGAAATAAAAACACAGTTGGTTCCCATTTGTTTCTCATTAGATTAATGACCATATTACTGAAGAACAGCATGATCGAGCAGAGTGATATCTATGCTCTATGTCCAGCTCTATTTTTGACAGCCATGTGATCTTGGGCTTCTCTGAGCCTTTGTTTCCTCATCTGGGAGGTAAATACTGAATTCTCTCTCTCTCTCTCTCTCTCTCTCTCTCTCTCTCTCTCTCTCTCT